ATATATTGAGATATTGGACAGATGTCTACTTCCATTTGCGACTGCTTCGATAAATTCAAGATGGTTTCTTTATCAAGATAATTCGTCAGTACACAAAACTAAACTTTTGATGGGTCGCGTTGTGACTTTCTTGAATGAAGGAAAAGCACATTTACCGGGATGGCTTTGGATCAATCACGTTTCTTTGATCAAAGCTCCACTATTTTTACCGGATTTAAATGTTATCGAGAATCTATGAGCCTATTTGAAATTGAAATTACGAGGAAAACGATTCAATTCCAGAGTCGAGCTATGGTTTTACATCAGGAAAATTTGGAAGACGATTGGACCTGGAATTCCTGATGAATGAATTGCATCGATGCCTACTCGTATTAAAGAAGCACTTTTGGCAAAAGGAGGAGCGACGACTAAATATTGATTAAAGCTTAATTTCATTTTGTATGAAAAGACTTTTGCACCACGATTTTCAGGGGTGTTTTGACAATTATATTTTTTTCTCAATGAATAAGTGTTGTATAGCGATAACGTTTGTGTAAATAAATTGTGCATATATTTATGTAAATAAAACTATTAATGGCTTAAAGGGAGTCATGAAATTTATCAAAGAAAATTGATGAAACTTTTTAGAAAATTGAATGTGAAAAGACTTTTGCACGTGACTGTATATTGAGCGTTTTTTTTTCACTTTCTTGATAAATCTTAAATTTGGGGGTGGGACAAATGCGACCTTTTTTTGCGCACCTGGACATTTGCGCACCTTTTTTTTGCTGGAAAAGGCCTTAGGAAAGGTCGTAGAGCTTCAAAAATGTTTCTATGTGAGGGAATCGTATGCGTAGATTCCGAATTTCGACAAATCAGACCTCGCTGACACGTCAAATTTGGGCTAAAAGGCAAAAACTGCGGAAAAGCGTTAAGTTGCGTAGTTTTTGCATTTTAGCCCAAATTTGACGTGTCAGCGAGGTCTGATTTGTCGAAATTCGGAATCTACGCATACGATTCCCTCACATAGAAACATTTTTAAAGCTCTACGACCTTTCCTAAGGCCTTTTCCAGCAAAAAAAAGGTGCGCAAATGTCCAGGTGCGCAAAAAAAAGGTCGCATTTGTCCCACCCCCCTTAAATTTTCTGTAAAAAGATATTTGAAAAAGAGAAAATTCAATGTGAAAAGACTTTTGCACATATATATTGACTGTATATTGAGCGTTTTTTTCACTTTCTTGACAAATCTTACATTTTCTGTAAAAAGATATTTGAAAAAGAGAGCAGCATTTTCTCCGAAATTGTTTATTTTTGATTGATGACTATTTTGCTCACATCACTTCCTCTTTTGGTGTGCTTTTTTTTGCCTAGTTTTTGTTGATGATCATTGTGTAATTGTAGATGGGCTATTTTTTAGTAGACTACCACTTAATACCATATTAATACCACAAAATCAAGGAATGAACGTAAATTGTGGGGCTGATTTGTGTCTGGCCAACGAAAATAAAGCGTTGTGCCATTTTTGTGATAGCAGAGCATATGCATGTAATAAGTGTACACAGAAAAGCAGCTAGTAACAATAAATTTATCACATAAAAGTTTCTTATGCTCGATGAATGTGTTTGTGGACATTCTACCGTAGCCTGAGAACTGTCGCGGGTTAAAACCCGCCCTTTTCTGGGGTATTTAAATGACAAAAAGAAAAAAATTTTTATTCTGGCTCATTGTTTAACAGGGTTTTCTTCGTTTTTGCTAACCGATAAACCCTACCTATGAGAATGTGCACAAAATAGTATTTTGTGGATGAAGCAGCGCAGAAAGACGCAATGTAATGACGACTTTCGTAGCGGGATTACAAAGAGTTGTTTTTCTGACAGAGGGCCACTCGAAATGAGATATCACAAGAAACAGCACTCCATCTCGCCTCAACAGCCGGGTTAGCGTCGAGGTCAACATTCAGCTAGAATTAGGCATTTAAGTTTAATTCGCAAACGCACGTCCGAATCCGATCTGAACGTTAGTTCGTAAACGGACTCAACATATACATGATTTATTATTAAAGTCTCACTATACACTGGCTGGACCCCCATAACAGGAAAGATCATCCGATTTCTAATAGTTTAAGCGATTTTCCATTTCTCCCCACCTGTAGACAATTCTCTTGAGTGTGCGCGAAACTCGGCTCTCCTTTCCTCCACATTGTGTAATTCCAGGGTGTTCCGTCCAACCATACCCACTCACCGACGCCAAGACCACCCGTCTAGAATTTTCGAAATATTGCAACTCTTCTGATACTTTACTTAAATTGATTTAGCATTCTCCCAGTCAATAAAAAGTAACACTTTTCTATTATAATAGTAAGCCACCCATTGACGAGAGTTTTCCAAAAAGACTTTTTCAGGCCCGGCCTAATGAACTTTTACTAACAAAACCCCCATTTCCATAGAGTAGAATCGTGTCTTTTCAGATTTACAAGAAAAATAAATATCATCTAATCGTTAATCATCATTTGATTGTTCATCAACGAACCCGTTTTGCGCCGACAAATACTCCCTCGTAGATTCCACTGGTGGCATAGTGACCTGTCCGTAAGAAGTCTAAACAAAGTGACTGATGCATTTTATTCTTCTCGTAAAACAAGCTTTCCGTTTTTTTTTCTAAGCTTTCTTCGGATTCGGTTTTTTCAATAATGCCAACTTTGCATCTAGTGTAAATTTCTTATGAGCTCTGGGCTATGTTAGAGCATCTAAAAGGTTAATTATCCAATGAAAATACTCGTCGAATATGAAAGAGCCAAAAATTTTTATTTATTTACCATTAGCAACTCGATTTTCTTCATCAGAGTGAATCGAAGCTAAAAAGCCGCCGCGCGCTCTGCATTCGGCGAACGCTTGACACGCGGTGACATTAGTGATCAGCTAAAGAAACATTGACAGCTAGATCAGCTAAATCTGACAACTTTCCCTAGTACGCTGAAAGAAAAGAAAGCCAAACCCTGTAGTAGTGACCGGTTGTCTCTGATTGGTCCCATCCGGACAGTGAAAGGGATTTCACTTGTTCCCCTAGTTTCTCATTCAGCCCTCGTAGCTCATCGTTTTTCACATTCAATTGTCTAAACTTTGCAATTTTTCAAATCTATCCCTATATTTAGAGTGTATTTAGTATATTCTTTAAAAAAAACCGTACGCTGAAAGAACGATCAAGAAGCAATTATAGCCGAGACTTCCAAGGGAAAAAGCGAGCAGAATCCACGAGAAGATTTGCAGTCGCAGAGTTCTTTTCATCAACACGAGAACATCCTCTTCTCTAACCGGCTCTTCAGATCTAAAAATGATTTTTTTATTCAGTGCTTGGAAGTAGTTTAGTTTTTGTTAGGTTTGGAGAAGTTGGATCAACTGGTGGATCACCAATTGATCTCTTCTAAAAACAACTAGTCAACACTTCAAACTTGATTCTTCAATTTTGAGTGTCTAATTGATGGCTTGCACTTTTCGATTCGCGCTATCATTATTTAAAATTGAAGAAAAAAGACTAATTGATTACCTCACCGGCAGAACTGGTGGTTTGTATGGAGTTGGAGGATTGTTGGCTCGAAAATCCAAAACTTTTCGATTTCTACCAATTTCATAGGGCATTTTCAGATCAATAAACGTTTTGAAAACATGCAATTACTTTTCGGATCCGAGAAAATCGATAACCTTTCCCCATCGATACCAATCGTTCCTCGTTTCTAATCGAATTAGGCGATAAAAAGGCAAAGCGCGGTTCACGGAGATCTCCGTTCTCTCTAATTCTAAAGTAACAAATTTTCCATAAACTGACAAGTTAGGCGGCTATGAGCGAAAGCATTTGGTGGTGGCCTCCAATTAAGTCTGCGAAGAAAGAATTTCTCGAAAACGATTACGAATGTGGATGCATGGGATGCACTCCAAAAGTGAGTTTCAACAAAATCACCTTTTAACAATCTAAAAGTTTAACTTTTCATTTTTCTAGATATTTCCAAATTGAGCTTAGAAATGACTAAATCTTTTTTTGAACAATCCTTGTTCAAAATACTTTGTTCTCCGTAGCCGATTACCCCTGGTTACGTCATCGTCGCATCGAAAAACTCAGGGTGAACCGTAATCTTGATAATAGACAGACAGACCGACAGAAAGACAGACAGAAAGACAGACAGTCAAAATTATAATATGGTAAGCCATTGAAGAGAGAATTGTATGTACATATTACAGTTTGGAATCGGGTTTTTCCTCTTGACAGACTTTTTCCTGATTGTCGCTCTGCTTATCATCATTTTGTTCGATACAACCAATAGTGATCCTATGGTTTGCAAATGTTAACACTATTCATTCCTAATGGATATTACCAAACGTTTTTATGACCTCATATGTATTTTTTCGAGCCAAACGTCAATAGATTCTTTTATTAGATGATAAATTAGTAGGACTAAAGATAGTAAAGATTTATGGAAAGGCCAGGCGAGGAGCAAGTACTAAATTTTACTAAATAGTTCGATTTTTCCGTTTTACACCTATTAGCACGGCTCGAAAATGCACATTTCTTGTTTTTACTCACTTGAGATTTCTGAATCGAAAATTGACTTCAATTTGTCGGCCTTCAATCCCTTTTACAGTTTTAGATTCTATGGCTAGTCACTTTTTTTCCATCATGGATCGTTGGATGTCTCGCCCGAAAAACTCTCCGACCGTTTTACGCGCAAATCTACGGAGTATTCATGGTTTGGCGGCTTTCTTTTTTTACTACAATCGACTCTCGATACAACGATTTTGAAATTCTAAAGCATCCTCTTGGTTTCTGCGTAGCTGCCCAGCCAAACTCAATCGTTTGCCGTTTAGGGCAGCTACGCAAGAAATTTGAGACACATTTTAGAATCGTTAAATCGAGAGTCGAGTGTATTTTTCTTCCCACTAAAGCAATTTAAGGGCTTTCATGTCATCGGCTTTGCACTAATGATTCAGTCAGTGATAATAAATGGTCTCGTTGTGGTACTCAGGTGAGCTGTAGGGGAACCTTTCAACATGTCACCGTACTTCAAATGATATAGTGCTAGTGTGTTTTTTTTTGTTTTTACGTTTATGAGGACAGGTTTTGGTACGCCCTTTTAACTATAAAGATCGATTTTTTTTCAGAAACACATTAGCCGATGAAAATAGTTATTTAAACATGAGTCTAGTTGCTGAAAAAATGCTACGGATCGCAATTTTGCTCATTGGTATCGTTTTTTTTTATAATTTATGGAAATCGAAAAGTTTTAGTTTTTTTCATTTTTTCTTTCGTCGTTCAATTGCCTCTCGTTTGGCGATCGAACGTCACGCACCAATTTTATAAATATGTCAGGTTGATGTCTTTACAGATTTAGCTTTCCTCCTAGGTTTAGCTTTTTCGCACCCGAACGTCTATAGGTGTAAATCGTATTTTTGGCCATATCTCTTTCGTTATGCGAATTTGGCTGATTCCGGTGTCATTAGATAGAGAATTTAATTGCCTATCCAATGACACCTGGCTTAGCCAACTTTGACAGCTCTACGCTAAGATATGGCTAAAAGTACGATTTACACCTTTGGACGTTCGGGGGATATATGTCACCGAATCTAATTTCTACCCAACAATCACTCTTTTGCCACGAAAGTATCGGTCAAAGCTTTTCTTATTCCAATCACAAATCAGCCGACTGCTCGCCAAACTTTTTGTTAAAAACTCTTCGGAAAAGCTTTGACAAGAAAATTCTTCTTTGTGCCATCCAGCAAAAAGAATGGAATATAATTTTTGACAGAAAATTGACTCATTTTTCGAGGAATCTCCGGTTGATTGTGACTTTTAGAGACCGTCAATTGGATCTCGATCGCTCGATGAGTGCCAAAAAGGGAAATGTCGAGAATCGCTATATTTAATCTCAACTGTTCTGTTTAAATAGTATTTTTGATATACTTTCATTCCGTAAAACTAGCAAAAGGGCAAAATTGGCCCCATTCGGCTGAAAAAAATCGCCAATTGTCTCGAAAAGTCGATGGATAGGTAATGATCGGCTACCTAACTGGAAGTCACAAGATCGTTTCCTGTTGTTCTTATCATCTTGTGGCAATTTTGAGATCCCAGCATTGAATGGCTTAATCCGTAGTGCTCGCCTAAAGAACTACTGGTCGAAAGTTCGATTCCCACTAGTGACCGGTCATATAGTTAGAGATCACAGGACCCATTCCCGCTATTTTTTTCAAAAAAAATGAATTGTTTATCAGATATCAAGGGTGGCTCCCAATGGATTTCCCACAATGGCCCAAAAAGTGCATTCCCAGGACACCCAGCCATGGTTGATGGCTAATTTTCTCCATCCTGGATCTCAAAATTGCCACAAGATGATAAGAACAACAGGAAACGATGGCCTTGTGCTCTCCAGGATGGAGAGCCAAAAAATGGTCACAAGGTCCAGTTTTACCACTTCTCAAGGGATTC